TCTGTCCCCTCAGAGAAGAAGCGGAGGAAGACGAGGGGGGACCACTTCAAGCAGCGCTTCAGGAAGAACTTCTCTGCTCTCCTTGAGGAGGAGGTGAGGCTCCGTCTGCTGCTCTCTGATTGGCTGAGCTCATCATCATCATCATCATCATCATCATCATCATCATCATCATCATCATCCTCTGTCTTCATCAGAACCTGTCGGAGCGTCCAGAACCAAACTACCTGTCTGCGGCAGCCCCGCCCTCCTCTCTGCCCCCCCGTCACTTCTGCTGCGTCTGCGGCTTCCCGTCTCACTACACCTGCTCCACCTGCGGGGGGCGCTACTGCAGCAGCAGGTGTCTGATCACCCACAGAGAGACCAGGTACGACCTTCTGCAGGGGCTGAGGGGACTATCTAGAGACGGGTCGGTCTGAGGTTCTGATGGTACCAGAACCTAAAGCAGCTGCTGGGATTAGGGTTAGGGTTAATGTTAGCGTTATAGCTACAGCAAGGGTTAAAATCAGACTTACAGGTAGAGTGAAGGTTAATGTTAGTCAGGTTTAAAGTTATGGTTAGGGTTAATGTTATGGTTAAAGCTACAGTTGGGCTTAAAGTTAAAGCCAGGACAGGGACCTGGCTTTAACTTAGGGCAGTCTTGGAGGGAAAGAGAGACCGACAGATAGTCAGAGTTAAAGGCTGGCTTGGGGTTAGAGTCAGGGTTGGCAGTTAGGATTAAAGTTAAAGTCAGGCTTAAAGGTAAAGTCAGGATTAAACTGGTATTTACTCTCTGTTTTTTGGAAGTTTCATCCAGTTGAGTTTAAATCCCTTACGGTCCGATAATGTTGCTAAATGAGGTCTATAATCTGTGGGAATAAACGGGATAAACCTCGGATTATTTCACTAAATAATCTAACTAAGCTTCATTTTCTCATTCAGTTATTTTCCTTTATAAAACCTCTATAAATGAATGATAATCTGATAAATGCCAAAGAATCAAAGACATGAGAAATTATCCATTTTTATCATTTATTAGTTTGAAACCAAGAATTTAAACCTATTTTTATAAACTGTTTCTATGATCATCATAAACTAGATCCGCCTGTTAAACTCTGGCAGCTGGATCTAATCTATCTGTTCTTTAAATCAGTTCAATCATTTAGTAAATAATAAAATGTTTAATCCGTCCTTTAGATTAAACTAGTTTGATTATTCAGCTCATCAATGATGATTACAGGAACAGCAGAAAGTCTGTTTCTCTGGATTAGAAGTTCTGCAGACCAGAACCAGAACCTGAACCAGAACCTTCCAGGATCCGTTTCCCTCTGGGACGCCATCATAGTTCACTGTTTGCTAAATAAAACTCACTAAATGTTTTAACAGATTAATAAAACCCTCAGTTTAATGTTTCTGTTGCTACGGTTACCGTAGAGCTGACCCGATGGAGCCATTAGAACCACAGAACCTGGTCCAGACTTCCTGTCCTCTGTGTCTCTGCAGGTGTCTGAAGTGGACCCTCTGAGGACGCGTCGGACCGCGGATCAGAACCGGCTCTGGTTCTGTTGCCATCCTGTTGGACTCGCTGCTGATGATCCTCCTTAAAGGACCGGTTCTGGTTCTGCTGCCATCCTGTTGGACTCGCTGCTGATGATCCTCCCTAAAGGACCGGATCTGGTGTCCCTGAGGTTTGGACCCGTCCTCCTGGTCCCAGAGGGAGGAGTATCCAGTTCTGGTTCCATCTGCTCTAGAACCCTGAAGATGTTCTGAATCAATGAGGTCCAGACTTCCCCTGTGTGTTTATGCCCACAGCAGAACCAGAACCTCTGAACAGAACCCGAGGGGGCTGCTCCTCTGAACCAGAACCTCTGAACCAGAACCCGAGGGGGCCGCTCCTCTGAACCAGAACCAGGCGGTTCTGCTCCTCTGATCAGAACCAGGCGGTTCTGCTCCTGACGGGTCCACATGGAGCCGTCACTGATCCACTGAATAAAGATCCTGTTTCAGAACAAATGGGTCCACTGTGGTTCTGTTGGTTCTGTTGGGTCCAGTTCCTGCTGAAATGTGGAATCTTCTCACCAGCAGGTGGTGCTGCTGCATCCCTCAGACTTTAAAAGGTTCTGTTTGGGTTCTGGCTCGGTTCTGATCTAGGTGGCGGGTTTCCTTCCAGGAAGTGATGCGGATCACGTTTCATTTAGAAAGTTGGATGTTCTGACACCTGATGACGCCTCCAGAACCGGGTCGCTGCAGAACCATCAGAACCTCTGAGTGAAAATCAGATGGAAGAAGAAAGATTCCAGAGGGAGGGATTAATAATCTGACTGAGATTAGGATGGGAGGGAAATGGACCTGCAGCACCGCATGTTCTAGAAGATCGGAGATGAAATATTTAAGTAGAGTTAAACCCAATAGATGCATCATTAATGAACTAATGGGATAAATCTATGTTTAAAACCACAGATTTTACATCTAATCTGAGATTAAACCTTCATCTAACTGGTGTTTCTGGGCTGTGGGGGGAAGCTGGAGTACCCAGAGAGAACCACTGAGAGACTGCAGGCTGGGAATTGAACCCAGGACCTGGTTTGTTCAAGGCAGCAGCGCTCCACACTCTGCAGGCCTCCGATCAGATAGAGTTAGTCGATATTAACGACGTGTCGCTAAATAATCCACCTCTCTGATTTAAACATTATGACTGAATTTATTCCAGAATAATAAAAATATCATTAAACATTAAAATTAGTTTATAAATGGATTTAGGATTATTAATTTAATCACATTTAAATCTTCCAAATAGAACTATTGGCCCTTTTTAAAGGATCAAATTAATGTTGTTTACGGCTTTCCGTACCGAGTCCAGTCCTTCCAGTTTACAGGCTGCTGCTGGTCTGTGTGGGGCTGGATCACCATCAGGTTCCTCTGGTGTCCTCGTGAAAATGTCGGTGAACCATTAGAAACATTAGATTGTTTTATCATAAACATTTTCTCACGTCTTTATTCGCTGTTTACCTTTTGTTGGCTCTTAATCAATAATATTGTCGTGTTCCACCTCTGATAAACGTTTATTATCCGTCTCTATCGGAGGACATTTTTTACAGGTTTATCCTCCACAGCAACATATTTCATAAAAACTGAGCTGTTGATCATTTTATATTCATCATAATGATGTTTCTGTGCTAATGGGCTAACTGGTCTGGGATCAGCCCACTGACCCAGTTACACAGGATAATGGACCACCGTCCGTCTGCAGCCAGCCAGGCTCACAGAATGAAGTGTAACACCGGTGATCATTTAAAAGCCATAACCCCAATAATTAATATCAATTAGAAGGATAGAATCACAATATTACCATGGCTTAAAGTCCACAGCATAAAGATAAACTTGGAAAGGCTACAAAGATGATCATCAATGTGATGTCATCAACAAACATGGAGGTGAAGTGAAAAATCCATCATAAAACTTTAAAAAAAGACAGAAATATCAAAGGTTCATTGTTGAGAAACTTCTACCTGCTACTATGGTCAAAGTTATTAATGAAACTTAAAAACATGAAACGTTAAGTTAATCTGAAATATTAGAGGAGCTCTAAGATAATAAGGAAAGAAGTTAAAGCTGGAAAAGATGGAGGATTATTTCCACAAAGAGACTAAAACATCCCAACATTCCCAGTATCGATCAAAACTGAACTATACTGGATTCCATGGGTCCATAATAAATGCATTTAATTCTTTCACTGTAGTTTGACCTCCTGTCCAACAGATGGCGCTGGTAGTTTTCTGTCAGCGTGCCCCAGAGCAGCAGTGGATGGAGGTGATCCAGCTACAGGCTGATCGATCAATAAGATAAGTCTATGATGCTCTGACCTACGGAAAACTTTAACACATTTAAAGCAGCACTTTGGCCTCTGATTGGTTAAAAGACGGAAACAATAAACCTCAGATAGTTTCAGATTCTTATTGACCATTAGGAACAAAAATTAATTAAATATTGGGAATGAGATGAAAATCTTAATTTTTTTAATCAGAAAATGAACATTTGAGTTTAACATTTAACCAGATAATTCACATTTTGGTCAAATAGCTAATAACATTCTAAAAAAAAAAGCATTTTATTCTTCTCTGTTTTACTCTTTTTCTTTCTGAAAAGTCCGGTTCTGGTCGGGTTTCTGCGCGGTCCGACTGGTTCAGTGTAAATAGATCCTGTTTGGACCAAACATGGCGGTTTGATCACTGAAGGACGGTTACTGCTGCTGATCCCAGGTCAGAGGAAAGGTCTGAGATCTGATCAGTTTAATAAAACCTTTAATCAGTTTTATAAAGTCATTAATCAGTTTAATGAAACCATTAATGAAGCCGGAGTGAAGGAGGATGCAGCTGCAGGATGAGGATTAAAGGAGGAGGATAAGAAGTAAAGCTCCATCTGGATTGTTTTAGATCCGATGAGGTCCTTTAGTTTGGATTCCACTGGTAGAATAAGATGTTTGGTTAAATTTCATGGTTTGAATGTTCAAGAAAACGATTCTGTTTCTCTTTTTGTCTTCATTTGATCAGTTTATTTAGAAAAAGTGACCGGCAGGCTTTTCTTCCAGCAGAAACTGTTTAACAATAAAAACCGGGATCAGTGGGAAGTTCTGACACCTTTCCAGAAACAGGAACGTCTCTTTGGCCCCTCCTGGGGACATCGGCCCTCAGACCTTCCTGCAGCATCTCCATCTCCATCTCTGTAACCATGGAAACGGCCCTTGGAGTCAGAGGACCTGTGGGGTTCTGATCAGAACGGGTTCGGACCGTGCTTTTATAGTCCAGCTATGCCTGCTGCTCTTTTCCTTCCTGGTCTCCATGGTAACGGTCCATAAAAACCAGTCAATAATTAAAGTGGACTTTTGATCAGAGGGACGGCCGCTTTATAAATAGCAGCGCAGACTTTGGCCCGCTTAACGAAGCTGTTTCTGTGGCCCATCGAGGAGCCGCCACCTCACACCAGTCAGTGAGTACAAACTGGGAGAACTGGGAGGGCTGAACTGGTTGGTTAAAGTGGATCTGATGTGCTGGTTCTGGTCTGGCTGGTGGAGAGCAGCTCTGATAAAATGGAGGTCAGAACAAACGGGTCAGGTTCACTAACCTTCACGCAGGCACAGCTGGTTCTGGTTCTGGTTCTGAAGCAGGTTAGGTTCAAATCACGTTCTGCTGTTCAGCTGCTGGTGTGCAGGGAGCAGAGGGGAACCACTGCTGATGGTTCTGGACTCAGAAACACGTTTTCCCAGCTTCCCCTGCTGCTTCCTGTCTGTCAGGAAGTCTGTGAAGCAGGTGGATGAGGGTGGATGATGGTAGATGAGGGTGGGTGACAGTGGATGATGGTGGATGACGGTGGATGATGGCGAATGACGGTGGGTGACAGTGGGTGACGGTGGATGAGGGTGGGTGACAGTGGATGACGGTGGATGAGGGTGAATGATGGTGGATGAGGGTGGGCTATGGTGGGTGACGGTGGATTAGGGTGGGTGACGGTGGATGATGGCGGATGACGGTGGGTGACGGTGGGTGATGGTGGGGGATGAGGGTGGATGACGGTGGGTGACAGTGGGTGACAGTGGATGAGGGTGGATGAGGTCGGATGACGTTTGGTGACGGTGGATGAGGGTGGATGAGGGCGGATGACGTCGGGTGACGGTGGGTGACGGTGGATGAGGGTGGATGAGGGTGGATGAGGGCGGATGACGTCGGGTGACGGTGGATGACGGTGGATGACGGTGGGTGACAGTGGATGACGGAGGCTGACGGTGGATGAGGGTGGATGGCGGTGGATGACGTGGGTGAGGGTGGGTGACGGTGGGTGACGGTGGATGAGGGTGGGTGACAGTGGATGACGGAGGCTGACGGTGGATGAGGGTGGATGGCGGTGGATGACGGTGGATGACGGGGGTGACGGTGGGTGAGGGTCGATGACGGTGGGTGACGGTGGGTGATGACGGTGGGTGAGGGTGGATGACGGTGGATGAGGGGGTGACGGTGGATGATGGCGGATGACGGTGGGTGACGGTGGGTGATGGTGGGTGATGACGGTGGATGAGGGTGGATGACGGTGGGTGACGGTGGGTGATGGTGGGTGATGACGGTGGATGAGGGTGGATGACGGTGGG